TATTAAACCTATTAATGAATTAGACATGCATGGACATTATGTTAAGAATTCATGAACATTGTATTGTGCATTTATGGATATTATGTTGTACATGATTTGGGTTTCAAATTATATAAGGGCAAAATTGTACTTTTTCTCCCAAGAAAAATTATAACAAGGGCCCTAGGCTTGTAGTGCAACATCAAAATATACTGGGCCTATAGTGCAATTTTTTTTTTGTTTTCAAGATCCTGAGTGTGATCTCCCCTTTTAATAATAAGGTGTGAAAAGGAAGGAAGTGTAAGGGAGAAAAGAATGTAAGGCATAAATATAATTTTTTTGCAGGCCTAATATGTTTTGATATTTCTTTACAAGCTCGAAGGCCTCCAATGTAATTATTTTCAAAGCTGAAAATACTATATTACCTTTAATGAGTGAGAATAAATGTACTCAAAGAAAATTAACAATAAAAGGCTTGTAGATAATAAAAAAAGTTCACTTATTTTCAACAAGAAGTCCATTTATTCACAAGACTCCATAACGATTTACACTTGTACTTGAAGAAATTTACAAGTTAACTACATAAAATTAACATCAAAAGGTCCATTAATAAGTTTATTTCCCTAACAAAAATAATATTTGCTGCTAAAAAATAATATTTCATTAAAAAATATAACATAAATATATATATATATATATATATATATGTATAGTCATATAAATTATTTTATCATATTTCTAAACCCTGACTTGTTGTGTGGGACCATTATCATCAATGGCAGCCCCATGAATACCCTGACGATACCTTCAATATATTTATTTAACACGACAGTATATTTCAAAACTCAAACTCAAGGCATAGGATAACTTGATTTAATTGTCTCAGCCAAATGAACTAAGTGCTTCTTGGTAATTATAAGTACCGCAAATTATTTGACATTTTGATTTTTTTATGAAATAACATATTTGCCGCCAATTCAAAATTTAAAATGAAAAGTAACGGTTTAAAAAATCAATGACTATTTTATTTGGACTGTTCACTAAAATAGAATAAAAAGTGACAAGTTCCTTTTTGCCATTTTTGTTTACAAGTCAAGTGCAACTACTAAAAATCAAATACTGTCTATGATTGGGAAATAACTATTTTGTCTTGAAAATGACTATAGCTGAATAATAAATGACAAGTGCCTCTGGAATTTATTTTTATCAATCAAGTTCAAGCACTTTAAATCAATGACTAGTTACAAATTTTTGAAAAAAAATTTATCAATCAAGTCCAACTAGAAAATCAGTGTCAAATTTGTTTGGGCTGTTGACTAAAATAAAATAGAAAATAAAATTATTTTTCTTTAAGTTGATTTATCAATCAAGTCTACTAGCAATCAGTTAATATTATGATTGTGAAACGATTGTTTTGTTTTTGGAAGTTACTACAGTATGCTGAATAGGAAATAACAAGTGCCCCTTTGCAAATTTTAAATTGAGGGTAAATATATCATTTCACAAAATCCAAAATGCCACAGTCCCTATGGACTGCACAAAGTTATCAATTTTTGAGACATTTATTTGTCATTTGAATATTTTAGGGGTGTTTTTTTTTTTGGTCATTCTCTGTTATTAAAATAACTTGTGTGATGTGACTCATGAATTTAAGTAGACTTAGTTATGCCAAGTAATATTACTTGTAAATCAATGGAAAGTCAATCGTAAATAGATATATAGTGTAATGAATTTAAGGACAATTACTTGTGAATTTTAGAACTATTACTAGTGAATTTATGAAAATTCAGTTGTAAATGAAAAGGTAGTTTCGTGAATTTATGCATCACTTGTGATTTAGAGACAGTCAGTAGTAAATTTATGAAATGTCACTTTGTGAATATATAAAATGCCAGTTAAGAATGAATATGAAGAATCTTTTTTCTTTTTCGGTTTATAGATATGAATAATCTTTATTGTAAATCAATGATTTATGGACCCCTTTATATTTTTGAATATCTATTCACAGCTGATTTTTTTTATTTTTATAAATTCACAAGCAACTATTTTTAAATTCACAGGTGATGATATATGTACTCATGAAACTATATATCTTTCCATTCACACAATTGATTTTTCATATATTTATAAGTAATATTCCTTAAATCGCAATGACTTTTCTTAAATTCACAAGTAAAGTTTTCAATTGCCATTAATGTCTTCACAAGATTTATAATTGTGATTTTCCCATTTAAATATAGATGTTAAAAACCTTTAATATTGTAACCGTTAACATATGTATTAATTTGTCACGATGACATTTCCATCTAAGTAAGTTGGAGTGAGAGATTATAGACGAGATAATTTTTTTGTCTAATCTATATCATTATATTTCTGTTATATTTATCAAATAGGTGTTTTGTCCCACTTTCTTATCTATATTTTTTATCGTTTTGTTAGCATAATATAGCATTCATAATATTAAGACAATATATATATATATATATATAGAAAAAGATACGCAAAAAACATCAGAACTTTAATAGTAGGGACTAAAATAACAAAAAGTTTATAAATTGAAAGACCCAATTGCAAGGTTTAAATCATAAGGATGAAATTGAAAATTCTGGAAAGCTTTCAGTAACGTCGCGAACTGTAAACAGTATAGTTTAGTTTTACAAATAAATTAATAATTTGGGCTCACATGACCGAAAACTTCATATGTTCACATTTATTGTTGTCCTTGAGCACTAAATATGTCACGTTAATTCGTTACGTCATAAGGACTTTCACAGTAGGGATTAAAATAACAAAGAGTTTATAAATTAAAAGACCCAATTGCAAAGTTTAAATCATGAGGATGAAATTGAAAATTCTGGAAAGTTTTCAATAACGTCACAAACTGTAAACAGTACAGTTTAGGTTCAAAAATAAATTAATAACTTGGGACCGGAAACTTCATATGTTCACACTCATTGTTGTCCTTGAGAACTAAATATGTCACATTAATTAGTTACGTCATAAGGACTTTAATAGCAGGGATTGAAAGAACAAAGAGTTTATAAATTAAAAGGCCCAATTGCAAAGTCTAAATCATGAGGACGAAATTGAAAATTCTGGAAAGCTTTCAATAATGTCACGAACTGTAAACTGTAAAGTTTAGGTTTAAAAATAAATTAATAACTTGGGACCGAAAACTTCATATGTTGACATTCATTATTGTCCTCGAGCACCAAATATGGCACGTTAATTCGTTACGTCAGCTATATTACATCACGTTATGTCAAGTGAATGGGATGGGATTCGTTTTTCGCTGTGTAGGGGGATGTCAGATCATAACATGTTGCACGACAAGGAGTTAATACTTACTAATTCATATTTAATTAAATAAAGATGATGAATCATTCTATTTTCACATTTAGCGTTTGATTGTACATGGAATTATCTCTAATTGAAGGATAACCATGAGCAATAAAGAAAGAGATAAAGCTGAAAAATTATTTTATTTTTATTTGTTTGTCAAAAATGTTATCTTTTTGTCTAACATATCAAAATTAGAGTCACTTTTATCTTTCTGTTTAATTTTAACATGTTAAAATTAGCAATGAATTATGCCACGATCAAACAAACACCATATTATATATGGTTTAATTAATCATCATACCCTCAACCACATTTCTCATAAGCTTCTCCGCACACTTGGGGTGCATTTGGATTAATGTTAATATGTGTGTAATACATTTATATTTTATATAAATTTTGCTTTTGTTATTAATAAAGAAGATACCATTCTCTAATAACATAGACCATCTCTATCGAGATACTAATGACACAGAGTAAACCCTCCTAAATTTAACCATTTGTTTAAATAGGTGAAGTGCTTGGACCGTTAACATCAAGGTATTGAAAATTGAATTGGTTAAGTGACTAATGCACTTGGAAAATTGGCTGGTACAGTCCGGTTTTCAATATCATGGTTAACATTAACTTAAGGTTGTTATTTTATACAGAGAATCACATTTAAGGTCCAATGCATTATGGATTGGCTAAGGGATTGATTTACAGAGCAAACAAGCCCGTGCAGTCTAATTTTAATAAGCTCAAATGCCCCAACTACAAATATATATTTGTCGTGAAAAGGCGTGTTTGCCCCAATTGTATAGGTTTCCCAAGTGTGCATGTACAATATAATATCCACAAATAACATGACAAGGTCCATACATGAACAACACATTCTGATCATCTCTATTGAGTTACTAATGACAAGAGTAAACCCTTTGTGTTTGGCTTCGGTGCACCATAGTGCCTTTTCTTAATTTGATAAAGTTATCTCATCATCAATCTGGACAATACAGATTTAAATTGGATGGTTCAATTTAATATTAAAATTTTATTTAATTCTTATAAATTGACTATTTAGATGTTTTCTTGATAGTCTAGACTTAATATTAAAATTTTTTAAAATGTTTTAAAATTTTTATTTTAGTAAATATAATATTATAAATAAAAATAAAGGTAATCTTCAAATTGACACTTTAAAAAAATTAAGAAAAAGTTGCAACTTGAAAATTATATGTTAAATTTGGATTATCCATATTATATCTGGATAATCAATTTATAAAAATTATAAAAATATTTAATATTAAGCTGGATTATCTAGATTAAATATACATTGTCCAGATTGATGATATAGTATATTTATTATTATTTATAATTTTTATTTTAATAAAAATAAAATAAAATATAAAAATAGAGCCTATAAATCTAAACCGTTCAGATTAGATTGCTCATCATGTGATAAGCACCAACGAAACCAGACGCAAACCCCCTTAAATTTAACCATCTGTTTAAGTAGGTCGAGTGCTTGTACTGTTAACATTAACTCAAGTGGGTTGTTTGATGTAGATTTTATCGCAAGACAATTGGCCTATAAATATGCTTTGAGGGGGAGCCAGCAAGCTCATCAGCACAATCATCTGCCCATCTTTATTTTCCAATCACAACACTCTCTCTCTCCAAAGGTGCTGTTTGTTGGGAATACCATGGCTTCCCTAGAATCATCACATGCTCTGCCTCCTTTGCCCGAATCCATCAAACCAGTCCTTAATTTGTGTCATTATGATGAGTTTGGTAACACAATCGAGCAAACCCTCCATGTGGATGCTCTGTTCACGGTCGTCTCTAACATCATGGAAGCCTCACTCAAGATCTCTGATCCAAACGTAAAGGTGCGTATGTATGTGTGTGTCTATATGTATGTGTGTGTATCCAAACGGCAAATAACTAAATTTTTTATTAATTTTATGCATAGCAGAGAAATTTGAGTCAACCCATTTGGCTGAATTAGTCTGTTAAACTAGTATATTGACCAGTTTAATAAAATACTTTGTTTATAATCACTTCGATCACAGTTTGATTGTAGTTTTGAATTTTGATCATTAATCTTTGACCTAGTGTCTTGACTAGTTCAATAATTGATCACGGTTTACATACTATAGCTTAATGTTAACAAGGAGGCCAAGTCAAGTCCTTTTGGTTTCAATTCACCCACAGAACGGCTTCGGAAAATTGCTTGTCAGGTTAGATGTTGTTCTATTTTAAACAGATATATACATATATACATATATATAACAAGTTGTTATTAACTCAAAGTAATATTAAGTCAATGTCTTAAATTTATTTATGTTGACACACAGATGAGGAGTACAGTTGTTGATAAGGAATACTCGCATGCACACGAAACAGCAGAGAGGATAATCACAGATCTGAAGGAATATCCATGGCATGCAAGAGCAGTGATGGCACTAGCAGCATTTGCTTTAGATTATGGGAATTTCCATCTTCTTTCTCAGGTTAAAGATGGCGACAACCTTGGAGCATCATTGGCTGTCTTGAATGATGTTCAAGGAAGCATCATCAGTACTAATGAGGAAACCGTTTCCACATACCACTGTCTGGTGAGGAACGTTTTCTTAACTGTCCAATGTTTGGTTAAGTTGATGGGAATGTTGCAGCGACATGATCATGCCAAATTCGAGGACATGATTCCCACTTTGGACAAAGCTAGGCATGAATTCCCTGATTTTGTTTATTGGGCTATCTTTTCGACTGTTGTTTGCAGCAGCACTCTTTACATGGGCTCCAGTCGTTAGTAAGTTCTTCATACTCGGTTAAGCTTGATACCATGTTAAAATTACATGTGACTATATTTAACCTAGCCAGTCCAATATAACACATATAGGTTAAAAAAGCTGGTTGCTACTGGCTAGCCAGAACTTAGCACAGGCTTATGTATGTATAAGGACCAGGTGGTGAGCGTTCTCTCCTCCGCTATCCATGGCATTTAGAAAACATCATATCATTCTAATTAAATCTGAACAGTTTAACGTTTTTATCTTTATCTTTATCATTATCTTTGTTTTACTTTTATTAAAATACATTTATATAAATTATAAAAAAATTGATAAATGTGTTTACCAACCTGAACAGTCTAGATTTAATATAAATTGTTCAAATTTAATATTAAAATTTTTAAATTTTTATAAATTGACCGTATAAACATGCGCTATATGATATTAGTTTTTATAATTTTTAATATTAATTTTGGACTATTCCTGTTAAATTTAAAATATCTAAACTAGTGATCAGATTTATTAAAAAAAATTATCATTTTTATGAAATATAAAATAGAAATCAAAATGAAACCATTAAATCTGGTCCATCTAGATTTTATCTAGACAGTCCAAATGTTTCCTTAATGTAGTAGATGGTTAGATGAGGGAATGCTCAAAGGAGGGAAGCCGGGTATATACGTACACCTCTAATCTATTTTATTCCTTTATTCAATTTCAAAGGCAAGGCTTCTTGATATAAGAGCCAGTTGAAAGATTTTTTATTTTTTTATTTTTTGGATCTAAATGCAAGATCCTGATCTTCTTTGTTCTCAAACTATATACCTTAACAGGGTTAGTTTTTAAGGAAGTGTATTTTAAGCAAACCACTGCCAATACATGCTTAATGAATAACTAAACAAATATCCATATAATCTATGTGAATTGGTTATATATTTATCTCGTACATTTAATACCGGGAGAAAATTAGTTTGGTTTATGTAGTCATCACACTTTCTATTACATGCTGTTTTGCTTCAGGGTCAGCAACGGCACACTATCCGAAACTAGAGACTGGATTTCCCATGTTCATGAAACATTAAATGACTACCTGAAGCACATAGAGGATGTGAAAGGTTAGGATCTTACATACTAATTCTAATTCTTATTTCTCTAATATTATTTATAAGTTACTTCTAACACGTTTCACCTCTAACAAGAAAAAACCTTAAAATTGATCATTAATTTTGCCTAAAATTCAATAACTTTCTAACTCTGTCATCATCTTGTCATTTTCTCATTGTTACTTGATTGGTAGTGGATCTCACATTATATTTTTAATATTTTTTATTATAAAATATTTGAGTAGAGGAGCAAAAATGACCCTTTGAGTAGAAGTTGAGAATGAACTTTAACATGAAAAAAAAAATACTAAAACATAGTGGAATCTATTGATTATTAATAGACGTTAAGTGTTTTTAATATCAAGGTGATGATGGAAGGAATCTTTAAAGTTGAGAGAGAGAATTAACTCATAGTTAAGTTTAAGGCATTTGTAACCTTTTATGTATAATTTAAGAATAAAAATGACCCTTAGTCCAATAAGAAATAAGACAAAAAAAATCTTCTTTATCCACTATTGTAATAGGACCTCAGAGAGTATGTGTATAAATATATACATATATGTATCACCAACAAGTTAATTGGCACTAAAATATGAGGGGAAAAATGGTGTCATTGCAGGTATTATGGATGAATATTTAGAACGTCAAGTTGGGGCATTCGTAACTCCTACAGGAATTTTACAAGTTTTGAAGTGTCTGTTATTCCCCAAAGATACGAAGAAGCACTACGTGTGTTACGGCTCCATGGAATCAAGGGTTAGAACTTCGAATTATACACAGGATTCTTTTTTTTTTTTTTTTTGACCAGTGCATAGGATTTGATCTGTTTAGACTGATAATTTCCTTTTTTGGTGTAAGCTTTGCTAGAGCGATATATATATATATATATATATGAGATTAATCATTACTCATCAGTTTTATTTCTGTTACAGGTGAAGGTCGATGATGAAATGTTCAACAACAAGTGTGTGTTGCTGTTCATTTCCGAAGTGTTCGGCATCGAAGAGGAGATTAAGCTTTTGAAAAGAATCAGCGAAGATTTGGCCTCAGATCCAAAATGTGAAAAACATGGGATGCGAAAGAATGACTTCAGGATCTTGTGGGTCCCCATTGTTTCTTCTTCTTCTTCGAAGAGTGAGAAGATCAAGGCACAATTCAACGTTGTCGCACAACAATTTGTTACATGGTCGTGTGTGGTGGATTATTCCATTGTCGAACCTGCAAGCCAGAAACTGATCAAACAGGAGCTGGGGTACATGAAAAAGCCTATGGTTGTTGTGTTCAACCAACGAGGAAGAAGAACAAATAACGATGCGTTGCCCATGTTATCTGCATGGGGATGCCATGCATTCCCACGGAGTACAGGTGATGATTTGAGTTTTGTTCAGAATTGGAACTGGTTCAGGTCAATACTCAAGACCTTCAATCAACAACTAGCAAGTTTGGTAAGCTTTTTTTTTTTTTTTTTAACTTTAGTTATACTCGATATATATATATATATATATATGAAGCACCGATATTTTAAAAATGTAAACATGGCGTTATATTATTTGATAATATGTATCTGATATGATACACATCCTATGGTTCATGATACGTGTTGCATGAAATATTTCCATATTACTCAATCCTGTCCTATTTATAAGATGTTTTTGACATATTTATCATGTATTTTAAGTGAAGCTGCTATGTTGTTTTATTTATTAAACAACATTCTCAACTTTTAAATTATTTCTTTGTTAATTGAAGGAATATGATGAGTCATCTTGTTAGTTTGAGCAAATGCTTTCTCAAGTTAAAGGATAAAATTAAAAAAAAATATTTTTTGTTCAGCACACCTATTCTGTAATAAGGCCTGTTATTGTTGTTGGACACACCATATAATTAGAATCACATTCCATCTTTTATAAAGCACCTTATAAATAGGATTAAAGTCATATTTAAAAACTAAAAAAAAAACGATAGTTTTTGTTAATTGTTGAAAATATCTTTATATTTCTTTGAAAAATACTTTGACTTATGCACACTCAAATATATATATATATATATATATATATGTAGAGTAAAAGCTGCTACGTCTTAACTAAATTACCAACAAGTGGCATGTAAATTGATACATATCAGAATGAGAAAGAATACAACATCATCTGCGGATGCATGGACGATGTGGACCCCAGCAACTACGATGGTAGCTGGTTGGACAAAATCAACTTAGAGTTGGAAAAAATCAAAAGGGACAAGATCATAAGCTCAAGTGGTTTTGCTATAAATTACTATCATCATGGCAAGCAGGCTGAGAATGACTTCAAGTTTGCAAATAAGTTCTGAGCTTTTGTAGAGAATGTGTTCAACAGCTTGAAAAGTAGGAAAACAACTATCAAGGACGACCCTTCCTTGGACCATCTCAAGAAATTCCTCGGCCTCCGGCGAGAAATGTCCGGCTGGATTATCATAAGCCGAGGGTCCGAGGTTAAAATAGTTGGTTCTCGTGAGAGCGTCTGCAAAACTCTCTCCGAGTTTGAGTCGTGGAAACACGATATCACTCAACATGGCTTTGATGGGGCTTTTGCGAAATACTATTCCAGCGAGTTTCCACCTCAATCAAGTTGTCTCTACTTGGATCTGAAGACCTATGTTCCCTTAGAATGTGTGACATGCCAATCTGAGATGGAGATACAGTTAGTCAAATACGTGTGCTGTCATGGCAACCATAGCCATGCCAAATCTGTTCATCGCCTTGCACGAGTCCTTTAATGAAACGTCGTCGTTTTCCCTACCCGATGCTCAGATTTGGAGGAAGGAGGAGGTGTTTTCTTGAATTATGGGCTTGTTTATGCGTACTGTGTCTTTAGTAAAGCCTTTCTATAGGGCTTATGATAATATTAAAGCCTTCGGGCTATGAGTCTGTTGAATTATTGCATGTGTCAGTGTGTGGTTGTGGATTTGTGTTATCGATAATAAAATTCCCCCTTCGATTTGAGGATCTTTTTTTTTTAATTTGTTTATATGTTTAGAAAAAAACGTTAATTTGAGTATGTTGAATACTATAAATTTTAAAATGTCCCTCCCAATAAAATCTTAAAATAACGTTATTCCCAATAAAGCTTATTCCCTTTTGCTGTTCCATACTCGATCGTTTGTTGTCACATGCATACTGACAATATAAATACTTGGGAGGGAAATTTGATTTTAATTTGGAGGTTTCTCACGGCTCAGTTGGCTTGATTTCACACAAGGAATGAAATTTGAGTAAGATTTCATTTGAGATATTGTATTTATCCTTCAGATTTTTCTTTGCGGTTTCTTCTTTGATAATATGAATATTTGGGTCAAAATTAAACCTCCTGTTATGGTAACTTTCAATATTTTACTGAATTTGAATACAATGCATTTCGTTAAAGATTATACCATGGAAGAAAAATTTCATATCAAGATAATTTTCAAGATATGCAATTTGCATATTTGAATATATGGAAGTTAGGTTGCATTTTTTTTTTTTTTGTTTTTGGAGAGTTATTGCATTTTGTGGAAGGCTTTGTTTTCGAAAAGGCCTTACTCAACATATTGATACCAAAAGACTTCGGTTGAGATATTGACATTGAAGGACCTTACTTGGCATATTGACACCAAAATTATTAAAAGTGAAGGACCTTGTAACATGTTGACAATGAAACACGTTATATGAAATATTTATAGCGAAAAACCTTGTTTAACTTTTATTTTTTTATCAGCAAGGGTGTTATTTGGCCCTTATCAGTTATTGACAGTGAAGGACTTTCTTTTTGAAATATGTCCCAAGACTTTACAGGCTAATAAATTGGAGGTGAAGTCCTTTATAGTGGTTTTTCCATTTAAATAACGTGGTTAGTTGAAATGCAAATGAGTCAATTAAAAATTTAGTCTCACGTCAGCTATGATTGCGTCACAAATATTGTTTAAGGTCTCAATATCAATTATAACCAAGGACCAAAATTTTCAAGGGAGAATCTCATTTAGAGCCCCCAAAACACAAAGATCGCATTTAAGGCTCAATAAAATTTAAAAATGCCTTGCGTGCTAGAGGATCTTTTTTCCAAATTTTATTGTAGATGAAAAGATACATTTACCCTTATCTTAATTGAATGTCCATTTACACACAATATAATATCCATGAATTCTCAACAAAATATTTATAAATACACAACACATCTGGTGGACATTAACTTAAAGTATGTTATTGAGAAATCATATATTTTATATATTTTATCCTACCTTCTCCATGCATTTTGATAATGATTTTGGGCTAATTTGGGTTTATTAAATATTATTTGAATTATTAGCCAATTTTGAGTAATTAATATATGTTTGAACTAATTATAGAAATTTTGAGCTTAATTGTGAATATTTTATTTTCCTATTTTTAATATGGTATAATTTTGTCAATATTTAATTGAGCTTAATTTGAATTATCATACATTATTTGAGTTTTTGGCCATTTTGAGAAAAAAATTATAATTGCTAAAAAAAATTAATTTGAAAATATTTTATGAGACATGGGATTTATTTTGGATATAATCTACTCTAATATGTGCATTTGATTTTTTTATGTAAATAAAGTTGGTTTGAGTGATAGAAAGGAAGGAAGGAAGCTCTCTATCGGATTTTTGTGTTCTTCACCGCGCATCATCATCATCAGCTCCAGCGTCTCTTTTCTTCCACCCCATTCATTCATGCCACCTCATCTCTTCTTCCATTCTTCCACCAATTAATCACGCACTCACTGTAGTAACCCAGGAATTTTAAACAAAAATTAAATATATAATATTTTTTTGTTTTAGTTGTAGTTATATTAATTTTGGCGCAATTATGACAAGAGGAAGTGTTGGTATAGCAGAAGAGTGCAAGTGATTTATAAATGGGATCTAGGGTTCAAACCTACTGAAGTATTTGGGAGTTATTTTTTTTAATTTTCTTTATTTTCAGGCTCCAAATTACCAAAATGCCCTCAGCCTATCAGATATAATTTTCTCTTCTTCCTCTTTGCTGAATCTCATTTGGGTATCAAAGAGAGAGAGAGAGAGAGAGAGAGAGGGAAAGAAAAATTTGAAACTTGCATGTGATCTCTATTCCTTCTGGTATTCTCGACCTCTGATCCTTCTTCTTCGTTCCTTGCAGCTGTCGAAGAGGGAGACGAGTTGTCGTGAGGTTGCCTCGTCGATAAATATTTTTTCTTTGCCTATTCTTTCTGTTTGTGGGTGATGGACAAGTGAGGAGTTGGGTTGGTGTTGTAGCTAGGAGGATTGCTTTGTGAGTTGAGACTGGTTCAATGTTATTTTCTCCTTCCTTTGTTTAGTTAAAGGTTCTGTTCTTCCCTTGGCTGTGCGTGTTTTGTCGAATACTTGAGGTGAGGGGCTTCGATCTCTTTCCCGTTGCTATGTGCATCTGATTCTGGATTGAAATGGTGAAACATTATGAATTTTCCTTCTTTCTTCTACTACCTATGAATGTTATAGAGTTGGGAGTTTGATTTTCTTTGGGTATAAAAAAAATTTGATGCATTTGTGTTGAAGAGCTAAAATTTAGAAGGCTGTCTTATTCTAAATATGGATATTAGTAAAATTTGGGGAATGAAATTTGAAGAAAGGAAGCTTGATAATAGTAAAGGAATTCATGCCTATGGGGATGCTTGTTAAAATGCTTAAAAAGAAATGTTTTGTAGAGTGAGAAAAGTTAAAGGATATGATTGTGTTATTGAAAAATCAATTGTTATGGAAGCCAATTACCATCCATAAAGGAAGCTGAAATTGAAGTAAAGAGGTTTGGGAAGAGTATATTGATTGGTAATTTTAGAGCTATTTTGCTGTTTATGTATTGTAAATATATTCATGTCTTCAAAATATTTATGAAATGTTGATGCATGGTTTAAGAAAAGTAGAAGTTAAGGTTTATTTGTGATGATGATGATGTGGGTTTGTGTTCTAATTGAGCTTGATTTGATTATTAGTTACATTAATGATATTATGAAATTTTTGGAAAGGAAATTAAATGATAAGAGGTTGGTATGTGTTTCAGGATTAATGCCCATAAAGTGTTTGATAAATTATCTGAGTTAGGCTTGAAATTGAATTTATTAGAGTTTCATTAAATTCTTGGAAGGCATAGCAAGCCTTAGCATTATTTTGTCAATTGAGCTTGGGGTTGGCCATATAAATTTAATTATGAAGACATTAAGTAGTTAGTTGAGTTCTTTAAAAATAATGTACTTTTAGTATTTTGACAAAAAGTTTAATTTGAGATGGTATTTTAACCAAGTATTGAGCTATGATTTTGATGGATTTTTATGTGTAGAGCCCTAATTTTAAAATTTCAAATAATTATGGCAAAATTTTGATAGTGGTAATATTGGAAGGAAATTATTCAATTTATTGAAAGTTTATTTAAATTCTTAACATGATTTTTAGGGTGTTTGGAAAAGGAAAAATGCGATTAAAGTTTATAGGAAAATTTTGCATTTTTAGGATTTTCAGGTGAGTGGATAACTATCACGCCCCAAACATAGAGAGTGATCGGCACGGGTGTGAACCACTTACACATTCCCGTAAGCCACGAAATAAAAATTTATTCCATTTTTTACAAAGAAAAGAATGAAAATTAGTAAAATTTCATGAGAATTAAAATAATATATATTTTTATTTTAAGCTAATTGTCATAAGAAAGTGTCAACATTTTTGTAGAAATTTCAACAGAACCTCCCTTGTAATTAGGATCTTCCGAAAATTCTACAACAAAAATTTCTACAGATAGTGGTATAAATCAGGAGCACAACTCCTTCCAGCCAGCAATCAATGTACAAATCAAAATAAAGTCTACCAACAATCTATGTGGAGCATCGACTCTATCTTTTAAATTAAAAAGACATATAAATTATATATTTACATTAAAAGCAATAGTACTAATCAAAAGTTTCCACCCACTGTAGCTAGGTTCCCTTTAGAGGTCAAGGGGAATCAACGTCAGCTAACAAATCTGAGACCAGAATAAATTTTTTAGTGAATAGCATTCCTATAGTAAAATTCTTAAAATTTAAATCAACAACTCTAATAATGGTGCCAACTAATTAAAATAATCCCTCAAATTTTTATAAACCTATAAGTCATAATCTTAATTATAGAATAGGAATAAGTTGTAAACAATTTATGCTATAATGCTTAAGGAAATAATTTACTCACATATAATTTAAAATGACAAAATTATTAGCCAAAATCATGTAGGTTTGGAAAACACTTTAATCAACATGTATAATTTTGAGAACTCAATAGAACAAGTTATAAATGTGAACACACAGTCCAGGAAGATAATATAACCAAATGCAGCTTATGCCATGAAAACAAATGAGGGCACACCAGTCTATGAGGGCAAGTAATCAAATGCAGCCAAAGCTACAAAACAAACGTGGACACACAGTCCATGAGGGTAAATAACCAAACGTGGCTCAGGCCATGAAATCAAACATGGGTATAAAGCCCACGAATACCAAACGTGAGAGTAAAGCTCACGAAACAAATTAGCTAGTGTTTAACCACAGTGTGTTACGGGTTAACGAAACTGCTGTTAGTAGCAGTGTTTTGTATAGTGTCCTCTTAGAAATCTCATTTCAAACATGTGAGAGAAATAATTATTTTTGAAGTCAAATTTTCATTCTCAAGATCAAACTCACATGAATTGCTTCAAATATATGAAACTTGCCAAATTGGTATATCATAATGAATGTACAAACTTGCACTAATCATGTAACCAATAAATTTTGAAATTCAATAAAGAAATGTGCCTTCATCAATATTAGAATTATATTTCTTGAGAAAATGCACAAATCATAATGTAACTATCCTTCATCGTTGTTTCAAAATTTCTAAAACTAACATAATTCATAAAAATAAAATACTTCAATAAAAGATTTTTAATAAATAATTATAAGGAATGCTATTCACTTACTTATTGAAGTTG